GGCGCGCGGGCCGATGACGTCACAGAGGCGCCGCTCTCCTCCGCGCGTTCTGTGGGCCGGGGCGCCGGCGCTGGGCAGAGCTGTTCCTCGGCCGCCGTGCGTGTCCTGCCTTGTGCTCGCCAGAATCTAGGACGGGTGGCCGCGAGGTTAGCCAGGCGGATGTCGATCGGTCGTTGCCTGTAAAGCACCCGTAGGAAAGCCTCCCGGCCCCGCGGCGGGGCCTCCGAGCCCCTCACTGCGCGTCTGTGGAGAACCGCTAGTTCCCGGCGTGGAGCTGAGGCCGGGAGGAAGCGGTCTTGGCAGTGCTGAGGAGGTGGACTGGCCCTACCCCGGCCGACCTCGGCGGCGGCTCCGGCCGGGGCGGTGTGCTCCCCCTAGAGTCACTGTCCGGGGCAGCTGCAGGGCCGTGTGTGTGGGGGGGGGGGGGGAGCGGCGCGCTCTCCACGGCGTCCCGGGGCAGCTGCAGGGGTGTGGAGGAGAGTGGGCCTCTGGTCTCCCCAGTCCTGGGGCAGGTACAGGAGGGTGGAGGGGGAGTGTCCCCAGTGTCCCTTGGCAGTTGCATGTGTGTGGAGGGAGGGTGTCCTAGTCTCCGCAGTGAACTAGGGCAGGTGCTGGAGTGTGGAGGGGAAGCATCCCAGTCTCCATAGTGTATTAGGGCAGGTACAGGGGTGTAGAGGAGGAGGGAGTGGCACCTTGTCTCCCCAGTGTCCCAGAGCAGGTAGAGGGGGTGTGGCTCTCTTGGGGCACACAAAAAAGCAACCCTTAAGAGGAAAGCCCAGAGCCCAGCAGGGGAGGAGGGAAGAGGGAGGATGCCATCTGGACCCCCACCAAGCAGGACAGGACACTCATGCCTGGTCCTCACTTTGCAGTTGGCCGCCTGGCTGAACCTGACTGCTGAGTGGAACCGTGCTGACCACCCCTTCGATCTCTTTCTCATCACAGAGAATGTGGTGCAAACTCCAGGAGACTTGAGCCTCAAGGCTTTCTGTCTGGACCCAGCGTGGTTGCAGTCCTGCACTTTCTGGCTTGCAGGAGGTCAAAGGAAAGCACGCAGGCACACAGAAACTAGGCTGTGCCCATGGGCGAGGCAGTCGGTGCTGAGGAGGCCAGCCGGGTCAGTGGGGTGGTCCTGCCCAGAGCCTACTGAGCAGCATTCCATGCTCCTCAAGGCCTTGTCCAGGGTTTGAGGCCAGCGTACCCTGGCCCCACAGCACAGGACTGGGCTCAAGGCAGAGGCAGAAGGGGAATCCCCCAGAGACCCTCAGGCTGCAGGTCAGGAGGGCCCTGGGGCTGTGGCTGCAGACTTGGGGCTGCACCTGTACCTACGCTGGTCTGGGTGGAGAGAATTCAGGGTCTGGACTGCCAAGCAGTGATGTCTGTCATCTGTGACCAGGAGAAGCTGCTAGACTCCAGTCAAACCTGTGTTCCTTTCCACGTTTGGACCCTTGCTACAGTGCTGCCCTGAGAAAGGGCCCTACCTCTACCCCAATGTTAGGGACAGTAGGTGGGTGGTGATACTTGGCAGGTGCCAGGCTGGGGATCCAGTAAGCTGCACTGGCCTCCTTCCCAGTAGCCTGGTGCTGCTATGGTAGATGCTACTGTTTTCTTTGGCTTTGCAGGGTAGGACACTTGGATGCACTTTTTTTTTTTTCTGGTCTTGGGGCTTGAACTCAGGACCTGGGCCCTGTCTCTGAGCTCTTGTGCTCAAGGCTAGTGCTCTACCATTTGAAATTGAAGAGTCTCACAGACAGTCCTGCCTTGGCTGGCTTTGAACCACAATCCTGTGATTTCAGCCTCTTGAGTAGTTAGGATTACAGGTTGAGCCACTGGCACCCAGCATTGGAAGCGCTTTTTTCCCTTTAGTAGGTGGCTCCCCACCTCACCCACTCCCTCTTTTGTGTGCCTAGGGTTTGAAGTCAGGGCCTGGGCTTTGTCCCTGATGTTTTTCGTTCAAAGTTAGCACTCTACCACTGGAGCCACAGCTCCACTTCTGGCTTTTTTTCTTCCATCCCTCCCTCCCTTCTTGCTTTCCTCCCTTCCTCCCTCCTTTCCTTCCTCCTTCCTTCCCTCCCTCCCTCTCTTCTTTCCTCCTCCTCTCCTTCTCTTGTTGGAGATATGAATCTCATAGACTTTCCTGCCCACACTTTGAACCGCCATCCTCAAATCTCAGCCTCCTGAGAGGCTGGTGCACAACTCACATCTGTCTTTGAACTGGTGTCTTGCTGTGTTACCCAGGCTGCCCTAGAACTCCTGGGCCTAAGCGATTCTTGCCTCAGCCTTGATTGTAGGTAGGCACAGCCGTAGTGGCTTGTTCCCATGTCAATGGCTGGGGCTTGAGTACTCACTGCTATTTTGTATATAACCTATATCAAAAGGCACACTAGGTAAACATAAGCTTTTGAAACAATTACAAACAGAGAGGCATGGAAGAAAAGGAAGCAAGTTAACTTAGGACTGCTGGTTTTAGTCCTCTGAAAAGAAACATAGTAATCTTAAGAATCTGTTTATTCTTTTAGCACATTGGAACTAAAGAAGAATTTGTTAAAGTCAGAAAGAAGGACCTGGAGCGGTTGACAACTGAAGTGATGCAAATACGGGACTTCTTACCCAGAATACTAAATGGGGAGGTACTGGAAAGCTTCCAGAAGTTAAAGATTGTAGAGAAAAGTGAGTCTTCACTATATTTTTAGCAGTCTTTGATGGTGACAGTAATCTGCTCCATCAGACTTATCTTAAATGCATGGCTGTAAAGGAATTCTAAATAAATCTTAAGGTGTTTCTGTAGCCCTTACATTTGGGAAAGTCAAACATAAGAAGGGCTTGGAACTGCCATCATTGAGTAACTTGTATATATGTATATATTGGTGCTGGAGGAAAGCATGGCAGTTTTCTCTCCTGCTCTTTTCATTGGCAGAAGAATTTTTTTTTTTCAGAAGAAAGTTTATATATTAAAAACATTTAATGGGCTAGGAATGTGACTTAGTGGTAGAGTGCTTGCCTAGCATGCATGAAGCCCTGGGTTCCATTCCTTAGTACCACATACACAGAAAAAGCCAGAAGTGGCGCTGTGACTCAAGTGGTAGAGTGCTAGCCTTGAGCAAAAGAAGCCCAGGGACAGTTCCCAGGCCCTGAGTTCAAGCCCAGGACTGGCAAAAAAAAAAAAAAAAAAATCACAACTATTATATTGGGCATTCATTATTTAAAATAACATTCTAAATACTTACAAAAATAAATCAAGTATTGCTTCTGTTTTTCAAGCGTCAACAGCTTTGCCATAGAAAATAGGAATGCCCTTTTACAAACTGAACATTGTGTTTAAGCTGTCTCCAGCTTAGTTACTGCACAGGTGTTTTTATGGTTTTTGTTTTACAGTTTCCATATTACTTTGCCATGCACAGATTCACAGTAAGAATGTATGCAAACAACTACATTCACAAAGTTTTACACAGGAATGTTTTTCATTAAATATACACAAGTAAGAACCAAATAAAGACAGTGTGCTGGGGAGTAAAAGCTGCCCCCACCCCATGGGCCAGATATGTACTACACAGTGTGGTATGGAGGCATTACATAGCATTCAAAGGAGCACTCCATTGCCAAAAGTGATGATGTCTTAATGAGGGAAGATCAATTTAATATCTCCAGACAAGACATATTTTTTTTGGGGGGGGTTGGGTCGTGGGGCCTGGATTCTGGGCCTGGGCACTGTCCTTCAGCTCTTCAGCTCAAGGCTAGCGCTTTACCACTTGAGCCACAGCACCACTTCTGGCTTTTTTCTTTTTGCTTATGTGGTGCTGAGGAATCGAACCCTGGACCTCATGCATGTAAGGCAAGCGCTCTACCACTGAACCACCTTCCCAGCCCCAAGACATTCTTAACTGTACTAAATTATAGCCTCATTCATTGAAAAAATAGAATACATTTAAAATATTTGATACATTAAGTTAATCTTGACATAAACATCATTCTCATATACTTTAAAAAGAGAAATGCCTTCATAGAGAAAATGCTTAGAATTAAAGATCATTGGCAGAAGAATTTTATGCTTTTGATAAATGAAAAGCTCTACTCTGAAAATTTAGATATTAGTTATATAAGTTCAGGCTCTTGCCAGGTAGTAACCTGGCCTGTAGAGAACTGCTTTGTAGAGACAGATGTGTGTTCACTTGTCTGTGGGTGGATGGGAGAGTCAATTTTTATTTTTTATTTTTTTTATTGTGAAAATACAGAGGGGTTAAAATTACATGGGCAAGATAATGAGTACATTTCTTATCAAGCATTATAGCCTCCTCCTTTGTTTCCCCTTCCCATCCCTTCCCATCCTCCCCTCGCCCCCGAGAGTCAATTTTTTTTAACATTTTACTTTAGGTAGGGTTTAGTTATATAGACTACACTGTCCTTGAACTCTCTGAAGTTCAGGCTGTCCTCACAATCTTCCTACCTCAAATTCTCAAGTGCTGGTGTTACAGGAGTATACCACCATGCTCAGCTTCAGATTTCCATTTTTAGCACTGATTAAAGTCTACAATTTCTAGGACTTGTCAATTTAGACTTTGTGTGTGTGTGTGTGTTTGTCTGTGCGTGCGCCGGTCCTAGGGCTTAACTCAGTGCCTGGGTATTGTCCCTAAGCTTTTTTGCTCAAGGTTAGGGCTCTGTCACTTGAGCCACAGTTCCACTTCTGTCTTGGGTACTTGGTGGCTGGTTAATTGGAAAGAGTCTCATGGACTTTCCTGCCCAAACTGGCTTCAAATGTAGAGCCTCAAATGTCAGCCTCTCGAGTGGCTAGGATTATAAGTGTGAACTGCCAGTGCCCAGTTTAACTCAGACTTTTTTTTTTTTGGGTCAGTTGTGGAGCTTCAATTCTGGGCCTGGGCACTGTCCCTGAACTCTTCAGCTCAAGGCCAGCACTCTACCACTTGAGCCACAGTACCACTTAGGGTTTTCTGGTGACTAATTGGAGATAAGTCTCACGGACTTTCCAGTCCAGGCTGGCTTTGAACTGTGATCCTCATATCTCAGTCTTCTGAATAGCTGCGATTACAGGCATGAGCCACTGGCCCCCAGCAACTCTGACTTTTGAGATTTGAACTAAGCCATTATGTTAAAAACCCAATCTTGAAGCCCCAAGAAGTTCTTAGAGGCATTTGGAGATTGATTCAGCACTTGTTTGAGACTGAGTAACAAATCAGCCTTTGAAGGTAAGGCTAATTCCTTGCATCACATTGGACTGTTGTTATGGTGTGGTTTCTAGAAAAGCTATATCCAGAGCCCACTATGGAATATATCACTGGGAAGAGAGGGCAGTTTATGGAGGTGTTGCCCTCCCCCCAGCACTTCAGCTATCTTTGACCTGGCAGTCTTCTCTGCAATCTCACCCTCGTGAGACTCCAGTAGCACCACTATCTCTGCTTGTCCCTTTAGTTGTTAACCTCTGGGTGTCTCACTTCTCTTGCTGCTTTCTGATCTGTAAGAGTCCTTTCTCTTTCCCATTGGGACCCTGCTGGATATCCTCTAGGTTGTTGATGTCTTACCTCATTCTTACCTCATGGTCATCTAGCAGTTTACTATATATTTGTTTCAGGAAAGGAAAATGCTGCCCAGTAGCAAAGTGCCTGCTGGTTGATGGTTTTCACTGTGAAACCATGAATTGTCATTTTGAGAAGTATATTTACACCTATGGATTCAGTTAACACAAGTCAGTGTTTGGAGTTCAGTTTTGTACCCAAATCAAACTTACATGAGGGCCACATAAGAATCTGTGGGACTGGGAGTGTGGCTTAGTGATAGAGTGCTTGCTTAGCATGCATCAAGCCCTGGGTACCACATACACAGAAAAAGCTGGAAGTGGCGCTGTGGCTCAAGTGGTAGAGTGCTATCCCTTGAGCTAGAGGAGCTCAGGGACAGTACCCAGATCCCAAGTTCAAGCCCCAGGACTGGCAAATAAATAAAACAATAAATAAACCTAGGGATTTTTTTTTTTTTTTTGCCGGTTATGGGGCCTGAACTCCGGGCCTGGGTGCCGTCCCTGAGCTCTTCAGCTCAAGGCTAGCACTCTACCACTTGAGCCACAGTGCCACTTCCAGCTTTTTCTGCTTATGTGGTGCTGAGTAATTGAACTCAGGGCCTCATGCATGCGAGGCAAGCACTCTACCACTGAGCCACCTTCCCAGCCCAAATCTAGGGATTTGATAGAAGGCAGATTCTGGGAGATGTTTTCTCACTTGTGTGAGAGAGCTGCTTGAGACTCAGGCCCAAGCCCTTCTCACCTTCATGACCTATTTCTAGGCAGGCTCATGCATGCCTAGAGTTTCAGTTACCATTTTGGTGCCAGTTGCTAGTCCTCACCTTCCTACTTGGCATTTCTTCCATCTTTGTTTGGTGACCATTTCACATTCTAAATGTCTATCCTATTCTAATCTATTTGAGATCACCAGAAACAAACCTGCAGTCTGACAAGGTCAGAAAGGAGTCTGTGAAACAGGACTTGGTAAGATGAGATTTAGATGGTGTGGGAATGAAGTACGGAGTGTGTGTGTGTGTGTGTGTGTGTGTGTCTTATTCTATAATTTGTTATAATTTTTTTTTTTTGTCAGTCATGGGTCTTGAACTCAGCCTGGGCACTGCACCTGAGCTCTTCAGCTCAAGACTAACACTCTACCACTTGAGCCAGAGTGTCACTTCCGGTTTTCTGAGTGTTTTATTGGTAGATAAGTTTCTTGGATGTTCCTGCCCAGGCTGGCTTTGAACTGTGATCCTCAGATCTCAGCCTCCTGAGTAGCTAAAAGTATAGACTTGAGCCACTGGCGCATGGCTGGAAATCAAAGTTTAAGTTTTCTGTGGGTTTCTTTTTACTAAAGGCCTTGGTTTGTAGATGTCCATTTTCTTTTCTTTTTTTTTTTTTTTTTGGACAGTTGTGGGACCTGAACTCTGGGCACTGTCCCTCAGCTCTTCAGCTCAAGGCTAGTGCTCTACCACTGAGCCACAGCACCACTTCTGGCTTTTTTCTGCTTATGTGGTACTGAGGAATCGAACCCAGGGCCTCATGCTTGCGAGGCAAGCACTTTACCACTGAGCCAACTTCCTAGCCCTAGATGGCCATTTTCTTAGTATGTCCTCAGCTGACCTTATGGAAGCTCCAAGGCAAAGTAGAGTTTGTTAAAGAGACATCATAATGAATGCCTGTGGTTCACATCTGAAATCGTAACTACTCAAGAGGCTGAAATCTGAGGATTACGGTTCAAAGCCAGCTTGGGCAGGAAAGTCTGTGAGACTATTTATTTATTTTTAGATTTTATTTTATTTGTGAACATACTGTACAGAGGGGTTACAATTACATGGGCAGGATAATGCGTACATTTCTTACCAAGCATTGCAGCCTCCTCCTT